ACTACAAGGCCAGATGGTCATTGCTGACGCAACGAATCAGCGCACACTTAGGGCATTTATCGATTTTTTCTGCACGTTTTAATTTTACGGCAAAACCCTGTGCACGCACAAAAACTTTTTCTGCTGCTGTTCTGTAAGTATGTCTCTGATGATGAATCCGCGACAGATTTTTAAACGACAGGCAACAAGCATATAGTCCGAGCGATCGAATAGTCTTCAACTTCTCAACTACTTCCCAAAACTCGCATTTTTGTTTGTATTACCAAAGTCATTTCCGCACATATTCGTTAACTTAATACCAATGAAAAAACTTCTTAAAGGATTTGAGTATCAGAGAATACATTTAACTGATAATATGAATACCAATATTCGAATTTTTTGACTAGTTACTTGTCTCGGCCATTAGTTTTCATTTTTGCATGAGACAAAAAATATGTGCCTAATGGCCACCTTCGTACAAATAATATTCACAAATTCACATTTTCGGTAAATATTTCACAAATATCCTATTTTTTTGGGTTTTTATGAATACATTAAGAAGAGACTTTACTTACGCAAAATGGTTTTACAGTGAAGATTTTCAATGAAAATAAAATTTCCATTTATCGAGTTTAATTGCAGGCATTTCTCAATTTTCAATCCCCAAGACTCCCATAAAATCACTGTTATTTCTAGGCAACTTATTAGCAACTTTTATACTGTATTTGATTTTCAACTTAGCTTTGGACGGCAAATTACTGTTTTAAAGTTGTTATCCACACCTACTCACCCGTTTTCCAGTTCCTAGCAATCTCTCTATAATTTCAGCATTCGATGTCTAATGGTCGGATATAGTGTGTCGTCAATCGAAATACGTCATTTTTACAATATTCTGTAACATATTTGCGTAGAATTGGCGGATTAAAGTATAAAGGGATATGCTATTTTAATGTTAAGCCAATCTGTCTAAAAATTGTACAAATGTGGTAAGGACAATGGATAATGGATATTGGCTTACTTTAACATTTGAAGAACCATTAACAATTATGTACGTCGAAGTTTCCAGAATTTGGTCAAGGTAGGGAACCTTCACCGATTTTTTTTCGTTAGGCGTTAAATATTCTAACCGTCGTGCCATAGCCGAAGACTTTAGTAGCTTCCCTCACTCATAAAATGTCGCCATTATTCTTAAATGCGTCTTCGATCCGGACAAATTATTTGAAATGCTTTTTTAATATCTGTCAGCCTTATCCCAAAATATATTATTCGTCTCACCGACAACATCAAAGGTTCCACTTTATAAAAATGGGATACTTAAGCAGTGGATATTCCCCTAATGCCCTTGGATATCCTTTGAACCCAAATGCACAGTATGGCGAGTCCTGCATGCAACTTTCATGACGAAATGTAACTTGGTAGTTTAGCATATACTGGGATCACGTTATGTTTATCTTCTGAGTAGATTTAACCGTGTGAACACCTTTAAGTTAGGAAAACTGTCCAGTTAGTCAAGGTCTTTTAGGATAATGTGCATTAATTTTGGCGAACTTGGGAGTCGTCTACTATCGAAAGAAGTCCTATGCTATTAAGTATGGCAAAGCCAAAACTTTGCTGAAATTGCATTGTGCTATGGAAGAACTCCTACATAAGTAAAACAGTGTAAAGTGTGTCCCTAACATAACCGGCAAGTTTTGTCCGAAATTGTTCAGGGGCAAGTGGAGCCAAGTTCACAAACAAAGAAGTTTTTTTGCAAAATGATGTTAAGCTAGCCTGTGAATTGCTTTTTGCCCAAAATGCAGTAACAAAAACGTTTTGGTCACATTTTGCTTTACCTTATCGCCTAGATAGCATACAAGCAAAGAGTCCATATATTTTACGGTAAATTTAATGCAAAACAGGCCTTATTACATGTCAGTCATATAGAAATATACTTTTTATAAACTGTAAGTTCCGCTTATGCTTCATTTAGGAACAGAACAGACAGAATTATAATTTCAAAAATGGTCATATATGGCCACCCTCTTTTGAATTTGCAAGCTTATAGCAGATCCTGGAAGTAATTCAGTTATGTGGAAAATAATTTATTATAAAGAGAAAAGTATATTCATTCATCTCCACTCTAATAGTATCGTTTATCTTCGGCTTAATTAAAGGAATTGTCAAATTTCTCCAATTTCTTTGTGACATTATCTTGGAAACCGTTCATATACACAGAATGTCGTCAGCTAATTATCCAACTAAAACACCTTTTAAAGAGTTAACCTATTGCGGAAAGTTTATTTTATAAATTTAAGGAATAACATTATTTCCACCCGACAATGTGATTTGCTGTTTTGAGGCATTTCTAAATGTGATCCAAATGGATGGCTTCATAAGAAGTATCATTGAAAACCCATTTTTTCGAAAGTACTCTTGATGTTAATCTCATTTCAAAGGTTTTGATTTAAACGTCGAACACATGCTGAATGGATGGGTAAACATATGTAAACACTAACAACACTGGAAATTATGCCAGAATTTAAAGCACTCTATTATATAAAATGTTATCCAGTAATAGTAATGCGTATAACAATTTTGACTAATAAATGTTCTTTTTATACAAAGAAAGTACAGTAGACGCTACGGATCACGCAACAGTTCGATATAGGCGAAATACTGATACTCTTTCGCTAATCGGTATTGACTCAGGTTGTGATACTGATTATCGTGTAGTCTATTCTGAAGTTTAACAAGCTTCGTTCTGACTACCAGCAAAAAGTATCTTTTGTAAAAACTGGCTACTTAAGTAGTATGCCTTTTGAGCATTGATTTGACTGCCTTTATAAATTCAAATATATGTTATGAAAAACATGCACGAAAAAAATTTCTTGTACTTAGTTGATAGCAAATTACGCCTTCTTTAAATTTTATACTCGAAGAATGGGTAGCTTTCGGTTTTAAAAAAAGTTGCTAATTATGAGCTTTCTTAAAATTGTGAGGTCTTTGTTCATAATACATCGTATCCGTAAATTTATTAATGCTGTCTATACTGCATAAATATATTCCACATTTATTTCAATAGTTTATGAAAACTTTTTGATTTCTTCAAACTGTAGGCAAAAAAGTAGTTTTTCTTAAACAGGATATACACAGTGCGCAGTTTTTAAACATTGAATTCGAGTGTAGCAGTCACTAGGTTAGAAAATTATTCGGCTATGGAGCAACTTTTTTTAATACCGAAAGTTACGCCTTTTTTGAGTATAAAATTTTAAGAAGGCGTAATTGGCCGTCAAACAAATAGAAGAAATAATTTTTTTGTGCATGTTTTCCATAAAATATATTTGAATTTATAAAGGCAGTCAAAATCAATGTTAAAAAAGCATACTACTTAAGTAGCCACTTTTTACAAAAGATACTTTTGCTGGTAGTCAGCACGAAGCTCGTTAAAAAAGCCCGCATCCTGTCATGACGGAATAAACTTCAGAATAGACTACACGATAATCAGTATCAAAACCTGAGTCAG